ATATATATGGCAGTGATGGCAAACCTTTTAGAGCTTTCAATGATACAAACAGCCTGCTGTGACACATGTGCCATGGGTTTGCCACCACTGGTATACAGTAAAATTCAAGCACCCCTCTCACAGGGGGCCTAAACCTGAACTACTTAAACCACCCCAACCTATCCTCTTTCCCAGAGGTAATGACTCTGAGCCAGCTTCTCTTCTACTTTCCCATAGAAAGTCTATGTGTTAAAAACACACCCATAAGTATATTACACCGCTTTTTTTTTTCACTTAACAATATTACTTGGAGGGCATTCCATATCAGTAATTATTGTTAATGGTATAGTAACTACTATTTCAATTTGATAATCCTTAGACATAAACATCTTGGCTAAGATCTACCAATTTTTCTAAGAGGAATAATCCAGAATATTTATGTAGTCAACAGCCTTTAGGAGAGAAAAGACATGGAGATAATCTAAGGGCTCATTAGTGGAAAAGGTAAATAAACTAGGCTGTACGTATCTAGTGGGCCTTTTTGCCACCCCTAGAAACCCTGGTCAGGGAGGTTACGAAGCAACAGAGAAGACTGCTTCTGATCCCATGCTAACACGGGGAAAACATTTTTTAAATATTAGATATTCCATGAATAAGTTATTAAACTCCATGAATAGTTATTAAAAGAACAGAAAAAATACCCTAAAAATATAAGAATCATTATGACTAACTCTTAGATTGACTCACAGGCAAATGCTTTTCCTCTGTTTTCCAGATTTTCTACTGAGGAAGCAAAAGAGAAAGGGGGCAAACATTTAACATAGGTTTATGATGAAACTGTTCCAGATATTTCACAGAAAAGTATTCCCTTTAATCCTCTGAGCCATACTAGGCAAACTATTAACCTCCTCAACACTAGGATTTGGGAGATGGCCTTGAAAGGATGGACGCTTTGTCTGAGGTCATGGAGATGACCTGCAGTACAGCTGGACTCAGTGAAGTCTGTCTGTCTCCAAAATCTCTGCTCTTCATCACTTGGCCATGCCACCTCTCACGCAGTGGTTCATTAATTTGTGGTTGTTATTTTGGGTTTTTTTAGACAAGTTTTTGCTATGTAGCCCAGGCTGGCCTCAAACTCAGGATCCTTCTGCCTCAGTCTCACAAATGCTAGGGTTACAAGCATGTACCCCCACATCCAGTACACAATGGTGCTTGGCTTACTTTCTCTCCACCCTAAAACACCAGACAGATACGACCCATTCCTGCTTCCCTATGGCAGGAATCCTCACTGCTCTAGAGTTGGTGAAAAGCCATGGGAATCCAGATGGGCTACTTAGGTGGAGGTGGTACATCCTGTCTTTGAGAATCAGTCACTCCTCTAGTTTAGTTGTAATGGACTTGTATAGTTTTCACTGTACACCTTTTCAAATGCTTTAATTATTGAAAGGTACTTCTTGATTTTAATGATAACACATACTGATTACAGAAAATACAGAACACAGGTAAAATCACCCTGCACTCCCAGTAGAGTATAACCACTATAGGTATATGTGTATATTGCCTTATACTCTTCCTTCTATGAAAATATATAGTGCTTTAAAAAACAAACTGGGTTGATTAATTTGGCTTTTATTTTCTACTTAATAATACAGACCCAGAGCTTTCTGGGGAGTTATTAAAAGTTCTTTTAAACACCTCCATACAATCCTTTTTAAAAGTTCTTAAACTAGTTTTTCTATTTTTAAAATTAATTTTATTGGTACACTTTAGATATACAATATAATGACATTCATCATTGGAAATATGCACCTTTACATAATCTATCTTGCTTCTTATTTTTTCCCCATTCCCCTGCCCTCCCTTCAACCCCTCTATCTCTCTCTATTTACAAAGACTTTGTTTCTATTTTTTCATTTTCTCATTTTAATTCCATTCCCTTCTTTCCTTTCCTCTATCCCTCGATTTCCCCTTCCCTTTGTCCCTTTTCTTCCTATTTCACATTATCTATTATACCTTTTAGTCCTTATTTACACTTTCAATTTTTCTATTTTTGTTGGAGGCTTCTGATGTTGCCCAGAATGGTCTTAAACTCTTAGACTTAAGTCATTCTTCTGCCTCTGTCACCCAAGTAACTGAGATTGCACTGAAATTATAATAGTTTTCATAAGTTCATCCAATTTCCCCCAATCAAACCTCCAATGAAAGCATGACAAATGTTTATCTTCAGCTTACTCCAGGAGACTGAAAAGAGTTTCCAGATCATTGCTATCAAACCTGCCTACCCTCCAGAAGCAGGCAGGAAGCTCTGTTAAGTATAGAAAACTAAGCTCCCTCCCCAACCTGAACCTGATGAAACAGTGACCTCCAGGGACCTGTTCCAACCCATACCCCAACCTCAAGGCAACCACAGACACATGAGCATGCACCACTCAACAGAAGGACAATCACACCCCTCTCTCTGGAGGGACACAAAATCTATTCTTGATGCGCTGACATTTTAAACAATATAAACCCATAATTAATCAGTATTTACTGTATGACTGTGAGATATATAAATAGTTTCTGCCCAAAATTTAGCAATAGTTATAAGAAATTATAAGGCCACTACTTTCTAATGCTTTTTCACTAAAGTCCATGGGAATCTGGATTAATAGATGAAGTGCTAAGTGTAACTCTGGGACGGGGGAAATAAAAGCAACCCTGTGTCATATATTTTCTAACTTACACTAAGAAACTTCACTATTTATTATGTACATAGAAGCATGTAACATATAACTAGAAAAGACATAACTGGAGCTGTAGAACAGTAAATGCCTTGTACTATTTCTGCACTTTAAAAAACAAATATACATACAATCATTTCAGGAAGAGGCGAGATCCTAGGGGTTTCCTATGCAATTTTCAAATCTAATGCTTTGTTCTGCCAAGTCAGCATCTTGATAGGCTGGGATAAGTGAAACATTTACATAGCTAAAATTGCTATCCTTATGCAAGTTAGCAAATCTCTAGTAATCCTAAATTCTCTTTTCATAGAAGATGTTGACATATAATAGCTATCTGTGAGATCTCCAAAAAGACAATTACAATGTAACATTTTTTAAATTTTATTTTTTAAAAAGTAGTATGTCCATGGGCCAGGGATTTAGCTCAGATGTTCGGTGGCCCAAGGACCCGGGTTCAATCCCCATTACAAAAAAAAAAAAAAAAAAAAAAAAAAAAAGTAGTATGTCCATGCTAAAAAGTTTAGAATGGGGTGCAGTTGGATAGGAGGAATAACTTCCAATGTTCTATAGAATAATAGGATTATTGTTAACAATAATTATATATTTAATTGTGTGTGTGTGTGTGTGTGTGTGGTACCAGGGATCGAACTCAGGACCTTGCGCTTGTCAGGCAGGCACAGCACCACTAAGCTAAATGCCCAGCTCAAAATAGTTTTAGAGAAGAGTTTGTGCACCCAAAATAAAGCAATGATAAATGTCTGAGGCAATAAACATTCCAATCACCGTGACCTGATCATTACACGTTGAATATGTATTAAAATGTCACACTACACCTCATATATATGTACAATTACTATATGTCAATTAAAAATAAAAATGTATTTTAAAAACAGGCAAGAGTGAAAAAGGGATAATTTGGTTACTAAATTCAAAAAAAAGTAAAGTTGAGATGCTGTATGTCCAGACATCAATAATAACAGTAAGCTCCACAAAGACCCATCTACATATTGCTACCTGGATGGTCCAAATACATTCAAAACTGAGTTCATGCTTACACTCTCCTCTCACCCTACTGACCATTGAAACTTGCTCTTTCTCCTTACTCTCAACACTCATGGGAAGATAACAACACCTACCCAAGCTGTCAGGCTAGAATTCAAAGATCAGAATCCTTTATTTGGTCTATAATGTTCCCTCTCTCTGCAGGGATGCCTCTTTAGATTTTTCCAGCTGCCTGCTCCTCTTCATGGCACTGCTATCACATGTGAGTATCCTTTATCTCTCTGAGCCTCTTTACTGCCACCAGAAAACAAGAATGATAACAAAGTGGAGCACTGCTACATGCTTATGGTGCCAGGTGCACAGTAAACATCCAATAAATGGTGTTTTTGCTGGTTTTTGTTTTTTGGGTTGGTTTATTTTTGGTACCAGGGATGGAACTCGAGTCCTTACACTTGCGAGGCAGGTGCCGGCACCAGTGAACTAAACCCCCGGCCCTGTTTACTAGCATTACAGTAATAGAGGAACTCAGAACTCTTTAAGAGCAAGTAACAAATAACAGTAATACAAACAAGTCATTATAATTTCATAATTTACTTATATTGGTAAATTGTGCAATTAATTATTAAGAGAGACTATAAGGTCTATGTTGGTAAGGACCTTACATCTCTATCCCTAATTTTTTCTCTATTTTTCATGCTGGGAATTGAACCTAGGGCTGCTGGGCATAATAAGCATGCATTCTCCTGTGGAACTGTACTCCCCCTGCTCAATTTCTTATATAACTAGGCAGAGTTAAGTATTTTTCTTGTTGATGAATTAATGAACTTTAGATTTTACAGGATCATCAAGTGCATCCCTTTAGAACAAAATCATGATTTCTGTATCCTTAGTTCTTAGATCACATTCTCTGTCCCAATGCCATCACTCAACCTCTCCCCTTCTCTTTTTAGTGACAGTGCTTTTGCCTCCTAACTGGTCTTTCTGTGTTTACAGTGACCCCCTTCCCTTCTCTCTGCTGAAGATCTACCTAGCCACTCATTCTGCCTAGAACAGCGCTTCACCCAATTGCCACACAAGCCTGACTCCTACATATCTGTCAGGTCTCAGTTCAAAGGGAACTGCCACGGAGATAGCTTCCCTTTCGGTTCTGTTAATATTCTTTTATTGGAAGGATCACCCATGCCATCATTCCCTATCAGTGCACTCACATTTCATCAGATCATCAGCCACACTTGATAACTTCTTATCTATTTATTTGTTGATTTGTTTTGTCTTCTTTCCCACTCTAGACCCCATTAGACCAAGAATTAAGTTGTCATGCTAGCCATTTTTACTCAGTTTCTAAAAGAAGGGCTAACACTTAATAGACACTTTACAAATAATTGCTGAGTTTGACTGAATTGAATGAATAAATAAATCCTTCAAGACCTGGCAGAGGGTTTTCCTGAGGTTTTGATTTTCCTAGCAACAATCATTATTTTTATCTTCACTGTCCTGTATCTCCCTTACAGCATTCAACTGTGTCTCCTTCCATTTGATCATGTATACCTCAAGAGCAAGAACTGAGTTTTACACATCTTTGTGTCCCTAGTACCTGGGACAGTGATTGACCAGTATCCACTGAATGCTTGCTGAATGAATAAATGAAAAATCAAGCAGAACTCTAGCTCCCCTTTTTCCAATTCTGCTATTTCTAATTCTGGTCTTACTATAAGAAAAACATTCAGGCAAATCACCCCACAAAACAATAACATAACCTGTTATGCAGTAGTACACAGCTGTAATCTGGGAGACTGAGGGAGGAGGCTTTCAAATTCAAGCCCACCCTGTGCAACATAGCAAGTTCTTGTCTCAAGGGTGGGAGGGATGGGGATGTAGTTCAGCACTCCATCTAAAAATTTACATTCTTAAGTAGAAGTAAAAGTTGCTTAATGACTCAAGGCTTATCTTGACTGACTCACAACTGCTTTTTATTGTACTATAAAAATCCTTCCCACTTTCCAATTTTCAAGAGTCTGATGGAAGGGGTACTATTAAAACCTTAAGGATATAATTTCTAATAGTATGATCACTAAACAAAGAAATCTACTCTTAACACAATTATTTAACTGACCTAAATGGTGACAGTAGAGTTTGATTTCAATGTAACACTCAGTTGTTTATCAAGGGCTATTAGATTATATAGTACAATATACCAATCATAACATTCAAGATGAGCCAGAAGCCACTGAAATGAAAGAAAACAAAAACTCTATACTTACTTGCTCTGTTGGGAACAGGGTATTGATATACTCAACAGCATTGAAATCTGCTCGATCTAGAGGATCCTGACTTGGAAACACCTACATTAAAACAAGGGGTTATATAGCAAAACATCACAATGAACAGCAAAATATAAATATAATTTTTGTCAAATAGAAAGAAAATAAATTTTTTAAAAAGGGAATTGGGCCGGGGATTTAGCTCAGTGGTTCAGTAGCCTGCCTTGCAAGCGCAAGGACCCGAGTTCAATCCCTGGTACCAAAAATAAATAAATAAATAAATAAATAAATAAATAAATAAATAAATAATAAAATAGGGAATTAACAAGTTCAATCCCTGGTACCAAAAATAAATAAATTAAAAATTAAAAATAGGGGATTAGCAATAGCTACCTTTCTACCTTGTCTTATGCATTTTTTCTTTCTTCCTTATTAGATGGTAAGCTCTCTGAAGAGAAAAATTATTTATTCATTTTATATGTGTCACACATAACAGATATTTGAATAAAATAGCTATTAATTGCAAGCACAAGGTCCTGAGTTCAATCCCCAATACCAAAAAAAAAAAAAAAAAAAGCTATTAAATACCCAATAAAATATCTGTTAAAGTAAATCTTTAATTTTCAACATCTATAGATTTACCATCTTGACACAATGGACAGGACATGCAAATGTGCTTTTTGTTTTTGTTTTGTTTTCTCCCCAGTATCAGGGATTGAACTCAGGACCTTGTACTTGCCACTGAGCTAAATCCCTGGTCCTAAAACATGTAAATGTAAATAAATGTAAAAATGCAAAATTTAAGATTAATGAAATCCCAAAGACAAGAAAAAGTCATCAGGCTTTGTATACTGTTAGATGAAACCAGTTGGTGACAAGGTTTACTAAGGAAGCCTTGATAATAGACTGTCTCCATGATGTCTTGGCAGAATTCACTATGCATTGAAGTAATTTTTTTTTGGGGGGGGGTTGGGGAATCAAATGCAGGGACTCACATGTGCTAGGCATGCCATTGAACTCTACCCCCAGCCTGCAACAAATCATAATTTATGCTGTAGACAGTGTCGAGAAATAAAAAGCTGGCATTCAGGTTTACAAACGAAACCTACCTTCTGAGAAATATGGCAAAACCTCTTTAACGTTCACAACTGGAAGAACATGTAATAAGGTGGGTTATAAAAGCAGTCAATCCAGGTGATACATACCTGTAATTCTAGCACTGAGGGAAACTGAGGCGGGAGGATCACATGTTCAAGGTGCACTACAGCAAGTTAGAGAGATACTGTCTCCAAAAAGGGGTAGGGAGTATGGCTCAGTGGTAGAGTGGCCCTGGGTTTTAATCTCTTGTACCTCCAAAAAAAAAGCAGTCAAGTCAGACATGGGGACACATGCCTGCAATCCCAGTACTCTGGGAGATCAAACAGGATTTCAAGTTCAAGTCCAGTCTGGGCAACTTAGCAAGACCCTGTCTCAAAAAAAAAAACAACAAAAAAAAAATAGGGAAAATGACTAGTGATACAGCTCAGTGTGAAGGTCCTAAGCCTTGGGTTGAATCCCCAGAACCAATTAATCAAGCAATGTAGTCAGGTGATTTCCTGGATATTGAATTTTATCAGCTCAAGATAGTTATGATTCTGGGACGCAACTTCTTCAAAGATGAAGCCTTCCAAAAAAATAGTGTCAAAGGATCAAAATGTCTCCTAAGAGAGGTCAAAGAGGATTGTTAAAAGAGTTTAAGACATCCACAACGTGAAGGAGAGATGGAGGTTAAATAAGGGTTTTTTTGTTTTTGTTTGCAATATTGGGGATTGAACTCAGGACCTTTCACGTGCAAGGCAAGTGCAGTGCCACTGAGCTATCTGGCCCTGAAGGTATTTTTTTTTTAATGTGTAGCATTTCTATAATATATATGTATGACACAGATATATCATATACCAGTGATGGTGAACCTTTTAGAGAGACAAGTGCCCAAACTTCAACCCAAAATCCACTTATTTATCACAAAGTGCCAACACTGCAATTAAACCTGAATACTGAGGTTTTAGTTTAGAAAAAAACAACTCATAAACATCTTTCGTCTTAAAAGAAAAATAACACCTATGCCATAGGTTCGCCATCATGTTATATACAAATGTAAATTCAAACCACTGTGATTACATGCCCTCAACAGAGGGAATGCTGGGAAATCAGCCTTTTGTGAGAATCTGCTTTATGAGTACAATCTAAGAGATGTGAATTATCTACTCCCTCAAGGTTTCCTCAGTTTCTGCATTCCTCTCATTGTTCTTGGGTGTTATTCTAGGTTTTAATGCATTTATATATTAATAAAGCTCTTAACTTAAGCCAGCTACTTCACCCAATGATAACCACAAAAAAATGATTGGCTGAAATGCTGGAGGAGAAAACTAACACTAGACTTATCAAAGCAATGCTTATACAATATACTTTATATAGGCAATTTAAGGAATTTCAAAAATAACATGTCTATAGTAACTTTCATTTTATGCAGTAATTTCAGAGCTTAATCTCTGGGTAAAATGAGATATTTCATTATATCAACCCTTCCTAATTCTTCAAATATCACTACTCTTTACAAAGTATTTTTTGCAGGGCTATAGGTGTAACTCAATGTAACTAGTGTGTGCAATTTGGCTTGATCTCCAGCATTGTAAAACAAAATATCCACACAGCTATTATTTGTAGAATTTTACTCAATCTTAAACTACTAAAGTATGAAAAAAATTCAAAATTCATCTTGAGTCTACTTATCAGATAAGCCTACCCTACAATCTCAAGCATAATCTTTAAAAATAGCAAAAAAAGGGCCTAGGATTTAGTTCAGTGGTGCCACCACCTTCCTCGGAAACACAAGGACCCGAGTTCGATCCCTGGTATCAAAAAACAAAATATTTAAAAATAGCAAAAACCATGCCCTTCTGAATTCCTGTCAAATCGTAACTGACTGCATTCTGTTTCTCCCATTAGAACCCACTAGATCCAAGAACAACTAAAATAAATGTCTTTTTCTGGCAAAAGCAGGTGGGTGCTAGATCAGTGTGGTCTGAACACGAGGTTTTTGTCCTAGGGTCAGACATCCTCAGTATGTAACAAATGTGGTTTTTAAAAGTAATCGAAGAGCTCCTAGAAAAACACCAATCCAAAAGTCTACAAATGTAACAATAAAAATACATTATTTAAGTATAGTGGCAGAGCCACGGTATTACCAGTCAATATATGTTACTTACTAGTAGAACTAATGTTTTACTCAGAAAATCTTGCCAGTGGTTATTAAATGAGACATAACTTTTTTAAAAATCATAACCCCGTGACAATTTCTTTAAGGGAGATTTTCTGCCTTTATTCAGAGGAAAGTCCCTGTACAAAGACCCAATCACGACTTCTAATATCACTGTCCTTCAACTTTTAATAAACTTGAAAAGGAAATTTAATTCCCTGAAGTTCTGCAGGTAGGTGAGGCCTCTTGGGAATATTCTCCACCGTAACCCAAACAGCAGGAATTCTCAACCTTTTGAGTATGGTAAAAGGGGCATTTTTCAATATGTCTCTCTGCTCTGTCATTTGCTTCAGAAATTAGGGTCTCCCTTTGCCCCTAATTCTGCACATGCAATACGGGAGCAGCGCAGCTAGCTTTGCAAATGAATGAAACCCTACCCGCCTAGAATCTGACGTTGCCACTCAAGGGCCCCTTCTTCGAGTCATCTTCTCAAGGGCATAGCTCCATTGCCCAAACCCACCAGGACCCCGGACCCCAAAGAAAATTAGGGCCTAGAAAGAATACTTTCAACCCCCTGGCTCAGTAACCCAACCAACCCCTTCTTCCCCGAAACCTTCGCTTTCTCTCTGCGCTTAGCCTCCACCTTCAGGTCCTAACACTGCTTCCTCTCTGGGCTTCCGCAAGCCCCACTACTCAGAGCTACCCGGTCTTCCACACTCGCCTTCTTTGAAGGGGCGAAACGCTCACCTGCTCGATAGCTAGCTGCACCTCGGGCGTGAGCTGCAGCACGGCTTCCAGCTCCTCCACAAACTCCAGTTCCTCCTCCTCCATCTTCTGGCCACTCGGCCCCTAGCTCACCCCCGCCCCAATTTCCTCACCTGGACCTCCAGCAGTCACCCACACCCCAGAACAGCAACTCTTCAGTTGCAGCACTGACTAATCCGGGCTCTGTCAGCCAGTCCGGCACTTCCGGGAAGCCGGGCACTTCCGGGATCCACGGCATTCTGGGATAGCGGAGACCCGCCCTCTGGAGGCTTTCCCGTCACATCCCGGGAGTCTTCTACCACCCCTTTAGCAGTGAGGTGCCTCCTTGCCCTCGGCAGGTTCTTAAAATGTTGGAGTCCTAGTGTTTGGCGCAGAGCCTGGCCTCCAGGAAGGAAGCCTCAGCGAACCGCAGCATCAGCAGCTTCGCCACGGCAATCTACGAGGTCTGGAAGCGGGCGATCCCTCAGTTCCCTGAGCCCTCTTGGTTAGTGTCAGCAGGTGTCCCCTGCCATCGTGGGTGAAATGACCTCTCCTGGTAAATGGCTGTGTCGCCATGGGCATTTGAGGTTAGGACAGCGTCCCCTTGAGGGAGATAAGTTTCCTGTGTGTCGAGTTTCTAGGCAGTTATTTCTGGTATGACTGGAGCCAGCTCCCTTTTGGGAAGGAGAAAAACAGATTAGACTAGACAGTCCGCACCGCGGAAACGTTTACTTTCTAAGACCGTAAATATGGGGGGGTCCTAAGTCCCTAAGCTCCCCAATAAGCTGTGTGCTCTTGAACACGTTACACCGTGTGCCCTGCCTACTCTGTCACTGAATGTTGTATGCATTAAATATTAAAAGCGGTATGCAGATTTAAACTAGTAATACAGGAAATACTAGGGTGTCTATCTCTTATGCACCACAAAGGGAGAAAAGAAGCCAGATCACCTTGTGGAACCACTTTTCCTACAGTGAGGGAGTTGCCACCAAAAGAAAGGTTGCTTTACCAGTTGAATATTGTGAAACCCCATAATGGGAAAGTCCGTGGCCTTACTGAGCTCTTTATTTTTTTGTTTTTAATTCTATGAAAACTATTATTAGTAGAGGATGTAGCTCAATGGTACAGCACCTTCCTGGCAAGTGAGGCCCTGAGTTCAATTTCCCAGTACCAAAAAAGAAAAATAAAATTATTTATAGTAAAGAAAGAATGGGAACAACATAACATTTTATTTTATTTTTTAACTTGACAAGTAGTAATGGTATAAACAATATAATTTCTAACCACAAATGGATACTTAAAATATAAAATATAAATACAATGAAATATTATTGACTTATAAAATCATAGCTCTGAAGATTAATGACGGGGAAAAGGTACACAATGCATTTCAGAAAGCAAAGTGTACATTTCAGAAGCAAATTATAGTCACCCAATTTGTGTGACTATAAAATGATAGCAAAGAAATATTATTTTTCTGAATTTTTCCAAATGTCTATAATGAGCTGGCAGTACTTTTTAACCTGCAGTACTTTTACAATCAGAAAATATAAATGCCGTTTTTTAAATGCAATTATCACCTGTCCTAGGTTTTTTATTTTAAAAATTAAGATATAATTTACATATAATAAAAGTCATTATTTAGTTTACAGGGCCATGAGTTTCATAAAAATATATAATCACATAACCACAATCCAGGCATAGGATATTTTTATCCCCACACACACACACATTCGCTCATGCTCCACCCCATCCTCTGGGGTGACCTGATTTTTATCTCTAAAGTTTGACTTCTCCAGAATAGCATATAAATTATGTGTAATCCTACAACGTCACCTTTTGAGTTTGGCTTCTGTCACTTAGCATAATGCCTTTGGTATTCACCCAAATCATTTCCTGTAATAGTTTATTTCTTCTTCTTGCTGAGTGGTATTCCACTGTATGGATATACCACAATTTGTTGGGTTCTTTTCAGTTTGGGGCAATCATGAATAAAGCTACTAGAAACATTCATTGTAGATTTTTGTGTATATATAAATTTTCATTTTACTTGCGTATATACTTAGAAGTGTGATTCTAAATTGTATGGTATGTCTGTGTTTGTAAGAAAGTTATAAACTGCTTTCCAAATTGACTGTATTATTTTCACATTCCTACCAGCAGTGTATGAGTTTTAATTGCTCATAGACCTTATTTTTAATGATGATAATAACAACTAACATTTCCTAACCCTTACTATATGCCAAATGCCATGCTAAGCATACTATATGCATTATCCCTTTAATACCCACTGCAATACTGAAGTGGCTAGTTACCATTATCTTGATTCAACAGATGAGGAAATAGACATAGGTAAAACAAACCAACAGAAACTTGCCCAAGGTCCCATAGCTAAATTTGTCATTCATTCACTTATTCAATACATTTATTTATTGGGTGTGTTAGTGCACACCTATAATCTCAGCACTTTGGGAGGCTGAGGTAACAGGATCATGAATTCAAAGCTATCCTGATCAATAAAGCAAGTTCAAGGCTAGCCTGGACAACATTGCAAGACCCTGGCTCAAAAGAACAATAATAATAAATAAATCTGTTGGACATTTGTTCCTTTGGTGAAGGGCACTAGGCTGGATGCTGGAGATTCAGCAGTGAACAAAACAGACCAAATATCTGCCTCCAGAAATCTATTTCCACGTAACAAAAGGGCATTCATACAAATAGACATAATCACAAGAGACAAGTAAATGTACATATTAAGAGACTCTGATGGACCGTTGGATTTGGAGTCAGGGAAGGTTTCTCTGACGAAGTGATTTCTGAGCCAAAGTGAAGAGTGTGGAGAGGGGGCAGGGGATGACAAAGCAAAGGAATAATATATGCAAAAGCCATGAAGATGAAAGAAAATGGCCATGGTGATGAAGCCTTGAAAACCAAGGGGAAAACGGTGTAAAAGGAGGCCAGAAAAATGGGCAGTGCCAGATAGTACAGGATATTGAAGATTGTGTTAAGGACTGGAAAGCCTTTGCAAGATTGTTAAGTAGAGGTGTGCCGGGTTCATCATGGCTGTCATCAGCCTTAGCTTCTCCATTTTTGTATCTCTACTGAGCTGCCTGCATTATTGTAAAGAATCTGAAACCAGGGTGACCATGTCCAGCACAAACTGATGCTATCTTATTTTGATCAATTGTACTTTTATGCATTCATTGTCAAGTGTCAGTTACATTCCAAACTTTTCACCCTCTGAAGCTCTCAACTCCTTTATATCCATTCTCTTTCTTTGCAAAAACACTCACAATAATATAAGTTTAAGAGTTATGCAGTACACAAATATAGGGAGTTAACAAAGCAGAGGTACAGATGGATACTAGGTGAAAAGTAATCTGCATTAAGCCAGGCAGGGTGGCACATGTCTAAACAGTAATCCCAGTGCTTGGGAGGCTAAGGTAGGAGAATCACTGCAAATTTGAGGCCAGGTTAGGGTACATAGTAAGTTGAAAGCCAGACCCTGTCTCAGAAAACAAATAAAAACTTGAATTAGGATAAGTAATAACAGACTAGACCAATTGTTTATAAGTGAAAGAGGCAAATACTTTAACAGGAGTAAACCTGGAAAGGCAGATTATAAATAAAAAATTTAACATAAATAAAATATGGAAGTTTATGAATATGAGAATAAAGAGTATGCCAGATTCCTACAGTTGAGCTGCATTTTCTTGTGTAAAAACAATTTTCTGATATGCTGTAGAATAGAGGAGTACAGCTGATGAGAAAATCTCATAGAAAACATATTTTGTAGCCAGGCGTGGTGGCACACACCACGCCTGTAATCCCGGCACTCCGGAGGCTGAGGCAGGAGGATCGCTGTGAGTTCGAGACCAGCCTGGGCTACATAGTGAGTTCCAGGGCAATCCAACTACATAGTGAGACCCTGTCTCAAAAAACAAAAAAACAAAACATATTTTCTCCTTTAGAATCTCACCACTTACAGCATATATTTAATCTCTAATACTGTACGCTAATACTTTAAAACAAAGCAAAACAAAGCATTGAAGAGACTATCATAATATCCTTTAATATGCAATGGAAGAAGGATGAACTGGAAAGCAGGTGTCCAGCAGTTTATGGGAGAATTGTGTGGTGCATCTGTGAGGAGACATCAGAGTGAGATGGAAAGAAAATAGAAACCCCCAAGTGAGGCATTCTCATAACATTTGTTGCTTTCCAAAAAAATTATTTTAAGGATGTAAGCTGCACTAATTTTAAAATAGCCTTTGTTAATGAAATCCAGTGATAGCTCTAAATTTCATGTGTCTCTGTCAATTTAGTATATTTATTTATTGCTGTACTAAAGACTGAACCCAGAGACTTTGCCCTAAGCTGCATCTTCTTCCTTTATTTTGTTTGTTTGTTTGTTTGTTTGTTTTTTGAGACAGAGTCTCACTAAGTCACTAAATTGCCAAGGCTGGACTTGAATTTGCAATCCTCCTCCCTTAGTCTTTCAGAGTGCAAGGATTACAAGTGCATTCCACCAGGTCAAGCTAAAACAGGGACTGTACTCTACTTAAACTTCCCTCTCAGGTTGAGTGTGTAGCTCCATACTAGAACTTTGCCTAGCATGCATGAGACCCTGGGTTCCACTCCCAGCACCAAAAATAAATAAATAAATAAATAAATTTCAGGATGTCAGAATTACTTGGTCTATAACCACTAAGTGTCAACAGATACCATCTTATTTCAACACTGATATGCCTACAATACCCCCACAAATTTCTGAACTGCCTCCTGAGACACTCAAGCACACTCACATTTAGATCCTGTTGTCACAATGGGTGGCAAAAGCTCCCAAATCATCCAGCAGTGGAATAAAGCACTGTGTGTGTGTGTGTGTGTGTGTGTGTGTGTGTGTGTGCACGCGCTGAGAATTGAACCCCAGGCCTCAAGCACTTGTGTGTGTGCTGAAAATCGAACCCAGCGCCTCTAGCACACAAGGCAAATGTTCTGCCCTCTAGTTTAATATATATATAAAATCTTTCTCATAATGTTCTGTCGATGTTTTTTTTGTTTTGTTTTGTTTTTTGGTTTTTTGAGACAGGGTCTCACTGTGTACTTGAGACTGTCCTGGAATTTACTGTGTAGCCCAGGCTGGTGTCAAACTCACAGGGATCCTTCTGGCTCAGCCTCCCGAGTGCTGGGATTACAGGCGTGTGCCACCATGCCCGGCTGTGGATGTCTTTTATTTGTTTGTTTGTTTTGAGACAGGGTCTCACTATGTAGTTGAGACTGACCTGGAACTCATTATTTAGCCAAGGCTGGTCTCCAACTCACAGCGATTCTCCTGCCTCAGCCTCCCAAGTGCTGGGTTTACAGGCGTGCGCCACCACACCCGGCCTCAATGTATTTTTTTTGGTACAGAGGATTGAACTCTCGTCCTTGTGCTTGCAAGGCAGGTGGTGGCACTACTAAACTAAATCTCTGGCCCTGTTTGGTGCCTTTTTAAAGGGCTGTTTTTAGTACATGTTTTTTATAATGACTGGTTCTTTTGCTTTCTCTCTTTTCTAAATTTTCTGAATATCCCAGACAATGGTATTTGTTTTGAATGACATCAGGCGATTCCAGCTGTATCCTAGGTACCAGTTTTGTTCCAATTGGTACTCTGGTTCTGTGCATGCCC